CCCACCGCCCACCTTGGAGCCGGTGCCCTCCAGCCTGGGGGAGCCCAGGGAGCCCACCACCCACCTGGGGCCCGGCACAGGGGCTGGGACCAAGAATGAGAGCGTCTCCACCTTGTCCGTGAGCTCCCTGGAGGTGAGGGCTGCCAGGTGGTTGGGGGCTGTAGCCAGCAAAGGTGGGGTGACATCCTGGGCTCCTCAGGTTTGGGCTGGCAGCCAGTATCAGGGGGGCCAGCATCCTGACGTCACCTGCTGGAAGAGTCCCATTGGCTTGGCCTAGAACCAAGGTGTCCTTACTCTGCCCAGAGGGAATGGCATCTGCTGCCCAGCAAACCCCCTGGCCCTGCTGCACCCTCGTGATGGGGAGTTTGCTGCCTGTGTTACAACAACCTCTGGTCAGGTGGTCCCCAGAGAGTGGTCTCACTCCTTGCGAGAGGCTCAAGGACCCACAGCCTGCACTTGAACCTGCTCGGGTCTAGCCCCTTCTGTGGTTGGATGTTCACTGCAAGTCGCTCCTTAGATCAGCCTGAAACCTGAAGTTGACCCCCAAGCCTCTCTCAGCCTGTAGGACATGTACTCAGAGACTGGGGGGTGGGGAGCAGCCAGGTGCAGCACCCCAGGGATATGCATGGGATGAGGGAGGTTCCTGCTACCCCATCCTCAGGCAAAGAGAGGCCAGGACTTGAAATTGGGGAGATTTTAGGGAACTGATTACAAATGCACACAAACCCCTTCTCCCCTTAGAGGCGGAAATCGCGGTATGCAGAACTGGACTTCGAGGTGGGTCCTCATGTTCCTTCCCCCAAACACCTGGGGCAGGTGTGTTCTGAGTCCCTGACCAGGCAGCTCAGGCTGGTCCAGCAGGCCGGGAGTGGGGGGGAAGAGGACCCTCCCTCATCTGGACCAGGAGTCTGCGCACAGGTGGGCGGGGGCGGGGCATGGCAGCCCCCTCCAGGCTCAGGACTCTCTGGCCCTCCTCCCCCTGCAGAAAATCATGCACACGCGGAAGCGGCACCAGGACATGTTCCAGGACCTGAACCGGAAGCTGCAGCATTCGGACAAGGACAAGGAGGTGTCTGGGGGCAGTGGGGTCTTGGGGCACTGGAATGAGACCGTGGGTGTGGGGCAGGGCAGCCAAGAGAGAGCCCTTTTCCTTCCTTCGTCTGACCCCATTTCATTCATTTGTCCATTCGTCCAAACTTTCCCTGGCTAGCCTGGCCTGGCCCAGCCCACGGTGCACCCAGGAGGGACTGAGGCTCATCTAGAAGGGGGAGCCGGGGAAGCCTGGGCAACGTTGCCTCTCAAAGGAGGGGACAGCCAAGCCAGGGGTGCTGAGCAGACAAGGGCCTCCAGCTGCCCTTCCCTGCAGGCTGCCCCGGACCCTAACGTGGTAGCGGTGCCACAGCCCCTGTGCAGCCTGGGGAAGGCTCTGCTCTGGCCTTCCCGCCAGTGCTGGGCCTCCTGCTGCCCCGCCCATGCCTCTCTGGTCCCTCCTTGTGGTTCCGACTCCTGTCTGCATGCTTTTCTCCCTCCCCATCTCTCTCCACCCCACCCCGTCCACTGCCTGCTGGCCAACAGCCAGAAAAGCAGCAGACGCCCAACAAGCGGCCCTGGGAGAGCCTCCGGAAAGCCCATGGGCCACCCGCGTGGGTGAAAAAGGAGCTGGAGCCACTGCCACCATCGCCACTGGAGCTGCGGAGCGTGGAGTGGGAGAAGTCAGGCGCCACCATCCCACTGGTGGGCCAGGACATCATTGACCTCCAGACTGAGGTCTGAGTGGGCGGGCGGTGGCCACACACCAGGCACAGAGGAGGGATGCTGCTCTGCCCACTTCTGCCGCAGGACGCAGGACGGGCACAGACACACTCAAGGGCAGCAGGCCAGGCCCGCGCCCCGCCTCAGGGCACTCAGACAGTGGCCAGGCGGAGATTCGCAGTGCTGGGACCACAGACGGGACAGGAAGCGGTGGCCCCTGTGGCACAGGGCCCCAGAGGCCAGAAGGTGCCTCAGACTGTGCCCTCCTCGGACCCAGCCTGGTGGTCGAATGGGCAGCCACAGACAATGGCCAGGCTGGATGTGGCCAGCACCCCCGGGATGCCCACCTGAGCCTCTGCAACAGAGGATCAGCCTGCTTGGCCTGGCCGGCCTGGCACCATTTTTTAGAAACCCCCATCCCTTGGGAAACAGCCAGCCCCCACTCCCTCCCAGGGCCTGGGCCTCCTGGTCCCAGGCAGGGGGCATAGCCCTCTCTCTGCCTGCCCCAGGGCCAGGACTAGAGGCCCACCCCGGGGTGAAGCAGGGGCAGGGAATCTATTTTTTCTCTCCTTTTCTTTTCTTCAATAAAAAGAATTAAAAACCCACGTCCTCTCTGTGTGGCCTTCCTCTGGGCAGCACGCAGGCCAGGGCCCCTCAGGCTGGGGCTGGGCTTTGCTTACCAGCCTTGGTCCCTCCGCCAGTAGAGAGGGCTGGGGAGGCCTGGTTGGCACCTCAGCTTTACTCTGCCCTGCACCCTGCTTGAGTGTCAGGACTCACTCTCTCCCCCATGGGCCATGGCAGCCTCTAGTCTCCTAGAAGGGCTGTGAGGGAACCTGATGGGGGATCTAGGGTGCTGAGGGGCCCCCTACACCTCCCTCTTCAGTCTTCAAGACTCGAAGCGGCAGGCATTTGACTCCCTGGGCCCTGAGTCATTGCAGGAGGGCAATCTGAGACAATAAAAGAAATGCAGAATGGCAGACATGGGGAGAGGGAGGGATCCTCAGAGCCCTGGGACGATGACTCCTTTTGGCTGGCCTTGGGGCGCTACCATCTTCTCCAGAGCCCCTGCCCTCCTCTGTGTCACTGCGGTCCCCCCACCACCTCCTTTGTTCCTGGGGCAGGGCCAGGACAGGCTGGACTTGGGCCACATTCTTAGGTCCCAGGACACCCCCTATCATTGAGGTTCCTGCCTCCAGGCCTTGGTGGTCCCCACTGTCAAAGAGGCAGGTGTGAGGGACAAATGTGAACACACCCAGAGCTGCTCTCCTACACCTGGGTGCAGGGTACATGCCAGACCCCCTTCACCGTCCCACCCATCCTTCGTTCCTTTGCCGCATCCCACCTTGGCTCACAGCCCATGATCTCTCCGTTTCTGAGCAAAAGCAGCCAGGGAGCAGAAACGCACACTGGTCCTGCCCCTTCTCCGTGCTTCCAGCAGGGGGTAGCCTGAGCTGCTGCAGGGAGCCCAGAGGCTGGAAGAGAGGGTTGGTCAGGCCCCTCCCCCACGGCCTCAGGCAGCCAAAGGCAGTGGACAAAAGCCCCAAGCCAAAGAAGGAGTGTGCAGGTGGGTCATTTGAAGGCCCCAGTGCCTGGAGATTATGCCCCACCCCCCATTTCATTCAGAATGAAAACAATGAAGCCAAGCTGAAAGGGGCTACCTGGCATGGGGTTCCCACGATGACCTACCCATCACTCCCTGTTCAGCATTCAGCTCCTGGGAACCTTGCCTAGAGTTTTCACCAGCAGATGGAGCTGGGATGGGGTGGGCGCTGCCTCCTGCCTGAGTGAGGGCAGTGACCATAGATGAGATGTCAATAGAGAGGGAGGGGAGTGTGGCCATGCAGCAGCCAAGAGGAGCTGGTGCAAAGCCCTCCAGCCACAGCAGGAGGAGCTCCAGGAACTAGCGCTTTCCGAGGGAGCAGTCTCAAGCCACCATTCTGAACACGTCAAAAAACCATGATAGTTGGTGAGATTTGCCAGCAAGCCCTGACCCAGCTGAGGCTTGCTATGGTTCATCTGAATCACTGTGACGTGTGCACATTTCCTGTGGCCCTCCTGGGATGTTCAGTCTCACACACGCTCTGTTCTAGCTCTAGCCCCGGGGTTCCTGGTGAGGGCTGTGGCCTGTGCTGGCTTCCTCGCCCGCCAGCCCTTACAGACCAAAGCTGGAGGGCACCAGGAACAGGAGGGCCAGGTGGAGCAAGTCCTGCTGGAGGCAGCACAGAGCTCCTGGCCAGCGTCTGGGAGACTGGGCTTCTGCAGGGGTGACCAGGGTCAGGGCTCAGCATCTGAACAGGGTCAGGGCTGAGTGTGAGTGACCAGGGCTAGAGCTCAGAATGTGACCAGACTCCAGTTTCCCCTCGATCCTTGTCCTTCCCTCCAAGAAGGCTCTGTCTTTCCACGAGAGACCAAATCCTTTGTCCTGTCTGGGCCCTGTGCTCACAGCTGTTCAGTGCTCCCTGGTTGCCCGGCTCAGTGACTAGTTACAGAAAATGCTGTCTCCTCCCTAGCTCACAGCACAGGAAGCCTACCAGCAAGGTTCCCACAAGATTCATCAGCACCCTTAAGCCCTGTCTGGCTGGGCCTGCCCTCCATCACCTTCCTGTGGTGAGCCCTGTTCAGGGCAGTGCTTTGGTCCAGAGGCCATGAGATGCTCAGAACAATGGCAGGAGTTCTGCAAGTTTGCCTCTGTATTCATCCAGCTGTTCAGACAGCTGGACCAGCAGGGATCCTGATGCCATCCAGTCGAGGAAACCAAGACAGAGAGGTTAAATGATGCTGCCAGTGTCCCACATGTAGTGAGTCTGAACCCAGCCCTCTTGGCTCTAATTCCTGGATCCTCCCCTCAGTGGGTAAGTTACCCAAGGGCAGATGTGGCATCCCCGTCTGCTGTTCCCTCCACCAGAAGCCACTCCTTTCCGGAGCTGGCGAGACCACCAGAGAGATGTTCCTCAACCTTGCGTTCCCTTAATTGTCTTGGCATCTTTGTACAAGTCACAGATGGCCATCCTCCTTGGCAACCTGTGACCAATGGCGCTAAGACCACCTCTTCTGCCACCTTCATCTGCCATCAGTAATACCACCATGCCCTACTGAGAGGTGTGGGGCTGAGGGATGGTGGTGGTCACCATGCTGGGCAGAAAGATGTGCGGCCAAAGGTGGTGGTGATGGTTTTGTGGATGGAGCTGAAGCTGCAGATCTTGGTGGTGGTGATGATGATGATGATGATGATGATATGATGGTGATGGTGATGATGATGGTGATGGTGGTGATGGTGATGATGATGGTGATTGTGATGCTATAATGATGGTGATGATGATGATGGTAGTGATGATCATGATATGATGGTGATGGTGATAGTGATGGTGGTGGTGGTGGTGGTGGTGGTGGTGGTGGTGGTGGTGGTGG